ACTACAGCTTTGCTTTCTGAAACATTGTTACCTCAAAAGATGACAGTATATTCCTCATCTCAGCCTTAACCAGTCTTGCCCACCTATGCCTATAGACAGACTACTGGCAAAGTTTCCCTGCTGTGAAAGCAGGAAAAGCTAACTCCTACTCGCCACAGATGAAGATGATGGAGGATGAAGCATTCAAACAAGGAGTCAATTTTACCTGTAGCTACTGAGAGAATTGCTTTCTATCTCATTCGTGAACATTCTCTTTTATATTAAACTCTAGCTAAAAGCTTCTTGCTGCCACAGAAGGCTGCAAAAGCAAACAGAATAGAAAAGGAGGGACTGCACCAATTCACAGGTGAGTTTATGAAGAGGTTCAGAAAGGCATGTACCCTCTGATGTCCTTAATACAACACCTACAGATGCTAGGGAAGTACAAAGGCAACAGACAACAGAAAGCGCTCAGGCACACGAGCTCTCCCTAAATGGCATTTCCTATTGCCACTATTGGACAGCAGATGAATCCAGACGTACACTTCATACAGGTCTCCACCACTTAAAAAGGGCAAACAGCAACATCTCTTGACCTTATTGCTGCACACTAATGTTTTTAGCTATGGCAGAAGTCAAAACTCATTTTACCCTCCTCACATCACCCAAGGTGTGATGAACCTCCTGCTACACACCCTTACACTTCTGACCAGTTTTTTGATCCAGCAGATTACTCTGGTGTCTGTCCCAGAGCTTCCTAAACGGCAACAGAGCTGAAGTGACCTCCGAACTTCCACGAGCGTCTGTGAAAATTGGCAGCTTGAAGAGAACTATGCACTGCAACACCAGGGTGCATGCATGCCGAATTGTACACTAGCAGATTTTTGGAAAGACTTAATATCAATCTGTATTCTGTTCACGCTTGGAAAGATTTCTTTGCAAACAAATATTAAGAGGCTTTTTTTCTGGGTTTGGTTTTTTTTTTGTCCCTTCCTTTTAATCCAGCTACAATGAAAGACTCATTTTGCATAAAGTGATGGCATTTTTCTGAATGTTTCCTGCTCCTAGAAACAGGATTTATCAAACCTTTTAATACTACCTCCTTACTGGGCTTCTGTTAAGATATGAAGTGCAGAAATACAATTTTTCTTTTCTGAATTTATTCTACAGAGATAGAATATTCTGCCATCTGAAGTTACAGTTGTAACTGAAAAAGAGAAAAGAAGGGAGGAAGGATGTGGAATCTTACTTGTCTGGGTTTTTCACTCTGAATGTTGCATTAAGAGCTTTTAATCTGGAATCTGCCTGAAAAAAGGGGAAAAAAAGCTTTGTTAATTTAATGCAATTAAATTCCAGTGACAAAAAATTCTCAGCCTTCTGGCAGCACGATTAGAAAAAAGTCCTGCCTTCCTGGCATATTTAAATCCTCTACCATTGAACAAGTTGACACTAGCTGCCCTGCATGTCAGAATTTTTTATTAAAAATGAATCAAAAAACTAAGCTATTTTTGTGAACTAGGATGTAAACAGCATCCACTGAAATTAAGCTGGTATAATCCAAATCCTACAAAAATAGTCCCTTCTTAAAACGTTACACAAATCATGGAGCTAAGATACACAACCCTACATTCTTTTTAGATGAAGCAATTAGGTAACATAAGACCATATGGACAAACTATTTTATATTTTTCAAACCAAATAAAACCAGTGGTAGAGTGACCTCTATATGCTCTTTATTACTAGGAACAGTTCCCCAGTGAAATCAAAATCTTATATATGGTGTTCTCTTATTTTATGACTGGCTTCACAGAAAATATGTAATTTGTATATCGAATAGAGCCCTTTTTAATGCAATGTTCTTTTCTATAATGGAGCATATATAAATCTCTACAGAAGAAAGTTCCATACCAATTAAAAAGGTAACTGGCTACTTTACTTTGAGATGTTGGTTTACCAATTACTGCAACAGCAGTATGAAATCTCTCTAAGGAGGGTTTTGGGGGTTTTTTTCAGTTTAATTGAACATTAAACTATGCAATAGGTATTTATGCTTAATAAGACGCTGATACAGATGAGCTATCCCAGCCTCATCCAACGGTCCTACATCACCACAACTTTTCATTTCTATATGGCATATTACATAGAGCTCACTCAGGCTCATCTACACTGCATGAAAACTCCAACTCAAGTAAAAAGGTTGGAGTTTACTTTTGGTCAAAACATCCCTCTTTTCCTTGAAAGAGCAACAAATAACACATCTTGTGAGGTGTATAGATTTCCTATAGTGTACTCTCTCATCTAATGGATTGTGCCACAACTGCCAGCAGTAAGTTATCTCAGCAGTACTTGTTAGTGCTGGTATATGACACAGGAATATTTTGTGCACTGTTACAGCCAACTCAGAGCTTGAAGAGCTATTTTGAATTTGACAGTAGAATGAACACGGTGTTCTCCCAAACCGAGAACAGAGTCCTTCCTTTAGGGCCCTTTCAGTCACTTCTACAAACAAGACAGATGCAGTTTGAGACTGTTCCACCTCCCTGCTGCACCAGAGCTGAGCAGAAGATGCCTGTATTCAAATACATCACTGCAAGTTCCTTTCACCTGGAACCACCTCCATACCTGGAAGACATTTAGGACAGCATTCAAGCTGAGGGAAAATCAGTTTTTCTTCAAACTAGGATGAGAGGTACTGACGAAAATCTTGCTAAGTTTAGCTGTCCTTCTTCCAACCACTAATACAAAACATGGTCCACAAACTGAAAGTTAAGTGAATGAAACCTGCAAGACCATGACTAACACTGGAAGAAAACAGGTTCATCATCACCACTACATGCAGCACTCTTCTAAGAGCATCTTGCAAAGGGAAGACAAAGGCAGCGTGGTACTGGAAGAAAACAGGTTCATCATCACCGCTACATGCGGCACTCTTCTAAGAACATCTTGCAAAGGGAAGACAAAGGCAGCGTGGGGAAGCATGTCCAAGATAGCACAAGGAACACAAAACACTGCAGTAAGTCCAACTCCCAGCCCAGGCTTCATGTTTCTTCAGCATGCTCCACAGACTTGTATGGCCTTAGACCTCCACTGCTCTACCCCCACGAGTCATTACACATGCTGGTTAGATTTCAGGTCGTTCAGGCACACCTACGTGTACTACTCCTCACACATTCTCTAACAGCATAAACACCACCTAGGTGCACTGACATTAAATCAGAGTCCTTCCCTCTAAGTAGCTATTTCACAAAACACTATTTCTGTTCAAACAGCAGGCACCAAAGCCACTCAAGTTTTTTGGGGCAGCATGCACGTTCAACTGGCTTACACTTGAAAAGGATCACTTCCTACATTACAGTTCCAGGGCAAGTTTCTGCCTTTTGTTACAGACACATGTAGTGCTCTGAAGGAACTTCAGTCAGCACACAGGCACTGTCAGGCAGGAACCATGATCCTGCCAACGCTCAACCGTCTAAGTAGGGTTATTTCCTTCTTGCCGTTAACAGCACAGTAACTCCCACACATCACTTCTGAGCATTTCCACCACAGAGTTCCACTGTTAGAAAAACGTCTGTCCCGTCTTAAACTTGATTTACGACTAATATGCACAAGCATTTTAGAGATGAATTCCCCACCAAACAAGGTATAGTCGAGGAGTTTTCAGACAGTTAATTCCTACTATGATCCTATAATCATTTAAGTAAACTAAAGAGAGTGGGGTATTTTCTTCTTCCTAAAGGAAGGGTTAAAATCCCAAGCGACAAATCCCTTAAAGAATAAAATTAAGTGCTGAGGGTGGGAGGGAAGAAAGGCATGATTTAATGATACAGCTGGCAGAGTAAACAAAGTCTCTGACATCAACATTCAACTATAATATGCTATACTGCATTAATGCCTAATTTAAAGTTTAGTTAGCCTGGTTCAAATCCTCTGAGACAAAAGACACATCGTGCTTTAACGCACCAGCAGCACAGACAGCAGCAGCACATAAACCAGTGGTCTGATTCTAGTCTAAGATACATAGTGAATAGCAGTTTGTCCTCCAGTGTACTGCTAAATAACCTCCAATCTTGAGGGGTCTATACTTCAGATGTTAAATAAAGGAAAGATGCTTTTCCCTAGGATTTGCAAAAAGTTATTTTTCTTTCCTAAGGAAACGGGAACTTTAAAAGGAAAACTATACAATCAAATCCAGAAGGAAAACAGGACTTGCTCATCTCTCATTCAATCTACAAGATGGTTTCAGGTGGGCAAGTATTCTCAGCATTCTGCTATGAGTTTTCTTTCATACACACACCACTATGTGCGCTCCTGAACACATACCGTCAGTGCAAATTTTCTGAACTCCTGTGAGTGTAAGCTGAAAAAGATGTGTTTACTAGGAGAACACAGATTGAAAGCCATTTTTTGCATTATGAATACTAGCAAAATGCAAGCTCTACTGTGATGGAACAGATTTTTTGTCAACTTAAGTTATCAACATTAAGTGTCAGTATCAAAACCCCTTGGACATTGAGGATAAGAGCACCAGCAGTTTTCTTCAGCTCTCACTATTCAGAATAATCCTTCATAATCCACCTAGTTTTCAGCTGTCATTTCATAAGAATTGATCACGTTACAATGAAACAAAAGCTCAGTATTTGTCTCCATACAGTAACTTTTCCAGGCACAGCCCAGCAATCTATTAGATCCTCCTTCTGCACAGACATGCGACCTTTGATTATTTATTCCTGCAAGACTTCCATCTGCTTACCCAGACACCAACTCAGTGATGTCAATGGGGATAGTAGTACTTCAAGACACATTCTGTTAAACAATTAAGGGGAGCCAGATCCATCTGTCTTAGTCCCTTTCAGCAACTCATCCTTGTAGAGAAGTCCTACAATTCAGATCCTTTTGCTTGCCCTTTTATTTTTTGACACCTCGCACCTCTTACCAGGTTAAATCTGACACCCATCTTTAAAACAATACTAAAGTGACAACATACAAAAGCACTGCTACGAACTCAAGTTCATTAGTTTTAGAACTCATAAGGATCACAATTTTATATTAATAGCAGAATTACAAGGCTGAGCATAGGCATATACTAACAAGCCTGCAACAGAACTTAACAGCTAAGTCTTACCTATTACATGCTAAGAACACCACTGTATTTTGTAATTACAAGTATACATAAAGCAATGCCTCTAGCTCATTCTAACAGCAAACAGCCTTTCACAAACAGCCTAAAAGATGTTTGTCGGAGTATTTCTGTGTCACAACAGTCGTTAGACAAACAATTACAGTAATTACCTTTAACTGAAATCCAGTTTCATTCACCATTTCCTTCCATCCACCTTCCTAAAAATACAGGAAAAGAAGGTTCTGTTAGAGTGACTTAAGAGTGCCACAGCTTTCGCCAAGTCCCTAGATCTGAACCATGTCAGAGCTGAAAGGAGAAGAGTTTCTCCATCAAATCTGGGTTCTGCCTCAGCTACCCTCCCTATTTCACTTCGAGAACCTGGGTTAGGAATAACATGTTGTTATGTTGTGCTTACACACCGACCTCCCCAAAACACTCTCCTCTTCTCTATGTGTCAGTGTGCTCAATTACCTCATTGTATCAACTGGAGGCAGGAGCCACACAGCTCTGCTTAAGGAAGCAGCTCAGCTCTGTAGTGAGAAGGGTAGTTATCCTTTTTGCCTATTAGATTACCAGCAGCTCCAAGGACCTGTGCAGCCTGAAGCAGCATGCACACAGGACACACGGGTGGCAACTGATGTGATCAGTTTACAGAGCACCCACAGTCACCTCACTCACATGTAGTGGCTGGTTGTCCACTGCTTTCAGTTCCCATACACTGGTTCATCTACATACTGTGCTATGCTGCGGTAAACATATCAGTTCAGTCCACTATTTGGAAATCTCTTGTCAAAGCACAGAACAAAGAAACACTCCATGTCTCCTGACTGAAAACTGCAGAATGCAACACTTTAGCTGGCAATCGGATTACAACTTTTGTGATAACATATGAATAGATCATGATTCAAGCCACAATACTAAAGAAACCGTGGTTATCCAAAAAGTGAATTGGAAGTCAGTACTGTCTCTAGAGCTAGCAGTATAGTATGTCAGCAATTTCAGTCCTAGGGAAGCTTTCCCAACCAGCACACATTAAGTTCCCAATATGTTGTTCCAAAGAGGTGGAAATTCTCTCAGGAGACTTAAAACTAGATTGGAAGAGAGTCGTAAGGTATATTAGAAGGCCAACTGTACAACTGCAGTGGGCTGTTAAGAAGCTTTTACATGGACAAGACTTTTCCACCTCAAGTTTATTCACTTTGTCTATCCTTCTGCTAGACACAGAGCAAGCTATGGGCCAATGGAAGGGAAGAAAAGCAAAGGACATTATCTTAAAAAAAATAACCACTAAAGAATGTATTTAGAAAACACATCACTTTACCTGTGTTAAAAATGAATAAAAGATTTTGTCTTGGCAAAGAACAGGATGTGAAGCCACACGTAACAAGAAGTTTTCCAAACCAATTCTTCTTCTTTCCACAAAATCTGGATCCATATTATCTGCCGATAGCTTATGCCAAACAAAGTCAGCCTATACAAACAGAAGGGTGTTAACAGTAAATAAATAACAAATAGTACAAAGCAAGCTGCAGCCTCAGCTTCCTTACCCTTTTTTCTGGCAAAGGTGGAACAACAATATGTGGATAGGTAACTGACAAGTAATTCCTCAACAACTCAAATTCACTGTAACGTCGCCACAGGGAGTCCACCGGGGCACACTGTCCCTCACTCTGGGACTCAACAGCTCTGAAAGACAAAATAGTAAATTTGAGCATTAGTAAGCTGTCGCCTTCTCCCTCGTACCACAGCACAATTATAGCAAAGGCCCTAAAAACAGCTACCCAGCAATGATTACTGCATAACTTGCTCATAATCTAAACTAAGTTCAATTAACTTCACATCTACATACTTAAATTAAAAATACTGATAATTTCTGTCTGATAGGACTCAGATTTTCTGCACATGCCAGGAATACTGGAAGAGTCAATGCATTTTCATCACACCACAAACAAACAGGTAGGTTACAGTGAAGTAACTAGTCACACAAGTGACTTGGTTCACATCACTACAGAATCAGACATATTTCTCTTGGAATAGTGTTAGGCTCCAAGCCAGCACGATTTCATGAGCAGCTGAAAGATATAGACTATCACAAGAGGGAATTTACTATTCAATGGGAAAGTCTTCACTTCAGAGGATAAAAATTATCTTGCCCGCAACAGCTAGAATAGTTAAAAATATAACTTTAAAAATATTAAGAATTTTTAAAGGATATTTTTAGGAAAACATAGCAAATTTCAAAGCACTTCCATTTTTTTTGTTCAAAGTAATATTTTTTTATATTTAAGGACATGTAGTGTAACAAACAAGCTAAAGATAGGGTAAGCAGGTACAAAATTGATGCATCTGATAATTTTGTTGAAAACTTAAAGCCAACATCACCTAGCAAGGGCTTAAAGGATTTTATGTTACTATAAAAGGACAAATCATGGAATATTATAGGATTGAAAAGTAACATAAAAACTAGGAAAAAAAATCATCCTTCACACAAGGCATTTAAAGCAACAGAAATACTTTGAAATATCATAAAATATGCATCGGGCCAGTAACACTTCTTGGCAGTTATCATACACCAGAATAAACACAGGGAGAGAGAGAGGCTTCACTCAAGGCACTGAACAGAAACCAGCGATGCCTATATCTACCTTGGTTCTTACATTAAGTGACTAATTACTGTACAAAGCACTGGCATAAACCTACATGAAACAATACTAACTATATTATGAGATTATCAAAGAATAGCCGAGGTTGGAAGGGACTCTGCAGGTCTGTAGTCTAACCGCCTGGCTCAAAGCAGGTTGCTCAGAGCCACGTCCAGCTGGGTTTTGAACATCTCCAAGGATAGAGACTCTACCACCACAATGGCCAACCCATTCCCATGTTTGACACCCTCAACAGTAAAGAGGTTTTCTTACATTGAAATGGAATTTCCTATATTTGAATTTGTGGGTGCTGCCTCTTGTCCTCTCCCCATGCATCACAAAGTGTCTGATCCCATCTTCTTTACCTCCCCCACTAGGTATCACGTACGTACGTGTATGCATATGTGTACCCCTACACATCGCTAGGATGCCCTGAGCTGTCTCCTCCAGAGGCTGAATAACCCCATCTCCCTCAGCCTCTCCCTGAACATCAGACACTCCAAGCCTTGAATCATCTTCATGGCCCTGCACTGGACTACCTTCAGTATGTCCACATCCTTCTTGCACTTCTCCAGCCCAGAACAGGGCACAGCAAGTTACGAACTACAAGAACTTACTCATATGGTACTTAATAGAATAGGGTACTATGCTATTTCTTCCAGCACAATTCAGGTTATACAGTTCTTTAATCCATAAGAACTTTCTGGAGTAAAAAGTTTTAAAAACATCTAAATAGCACATAATTACTCATTTTTTTTAAGCTATTCTTAAGCTACAAGGTTGGATTTCTAATGGCCTTACTGAAAAACAAAACAATCCCACCCTGGAGCAGCCTCAAATATTTGATACACTTAAACAAAATACAAGCAGCCTTTGTCATCCATTTGTGACCTCTCATTAGAAGAGGAATAGCCTCACTATATCTTCTCATTAAAAAAAAAAGGAAAAAAAGCATGATTACATCTTGAAGTTGAAGTATTGTAATACAGAATTATGCAAAGGGAATTTTTTTAAATGAGTAAGGCAGAACATTTTCTGTGTATTTATCCTTGCTTTGTGGAAAGGACATGTATTCTAGGTGACTGAATTTGTAGAAAAAAGAACATTCACAGGAGGAAGCAAAAAAGATGTATTCATAAGCATTCAACACAAACTGCTGCAGATTAAAACTGTTTGAGACTGACTTAAGAAAAAAAGGCAAGCACACTGCTGACAGTCACTAAACTGCCCTGCAAACATCCCACAGGATTCTCCCCTATTAGAGCATTTCAACTGAATGAAGTTGCAAATGCAACCACAGAGTTTTGAAGAGGGTAAGCTTGGTTTAGCACTGGGCTGACAGGCTGTGCAGCATTCCTCCCTACATGAACATGGCATAACTTAAACATTTCAAGAACACTTCAGCTAAAAGCAGGTATCTAGCAATTGTAATATTGCTGAGTTGGAGGTAAATTTAAACAGATAAAGAATTAAGCTACTATGGCCCAGAAGATTAGTTGTTTAGTTGAAAGCTGAAGGCACAAACTTGACTCTTCTAGAGGAGAAACTCCCAGCAGAGTTTGGTAAATGCTCTGGCCATTCACTCATATAAAAGTACTTCAGAATTAGGGATCTTTCTAATCTCCAGTTTCAGCAGCTATCAACCAGTTGCACTGACTTACAACACAGATTTCAAAAGCACTACACTTCTGCATGGGTTATCATCAACCCTTAAGCAAGGCAGCCACCATCAATACACCATAGGATTATGCAGACCCTGCTTGAGAACTGCACAAGCAAACATGAACAGGGAGATGACAAAAGCAGAGGCCACCTGAGAACCCAGCCACATCCCAGGAGGATCTATCTGTGCTGCAGAAACAGACACTGTTGCGCCTGCAGCAAAGCACCACAGACTGACCTAGAGCTAGGCAGGCACTTTGTGGAGTGAAGCAGACTGCAGCCACCCTTACTCTAAAGGCAGGAAAATTACAAATTCAGATCTCAGATCTGGAACGAGGAGTTCTCTGTAATACAATGGATGTTCTCTCAGACAAGAAAGAGAAGAAGGAAGAAAACCTGCAGGATGCATTTGGTCCACTGCTATTAAGTGTCTCTGTCTCTCCTATGCATAACTATTTCCAGGCCACAGCAAATGCGAGCCTGGAATTGGTACAGGAGTTGTGTTTAACTAGCTCTTCTTTCCAGTTTTGATTTTTCTGTAATAGGAGAGTTTCATCATCCATCATCTTTTTAAAATTTAACTGAAGTTTAAGACTGACTGCATCGCCTCACAACTAGGGGCAGGCTAGGTGGGCACACACTACTGACAGTTTATGGCAGCCTAACACATTTCAGACATACAGTAGAGTTACAGAGGCTTAAGAAGTTACCACCAAAGGCAAACTGCAAGAAGAACAGTTCACTTTATTTTTTAAGTATCATTATTTTTCTTGTCAATATGAGCCCCTGAGAAAAAGTACTGCTAGCCACAATTGTTTTTCATCTCCACTAAACTTATTCTATGGGCTTACACTGCCATAGGCAACTTCAAATATAAAGTTTTCCTCTTCCTGAATACAAAGTATTTAGAAAAGTTCATTTTGCAGTTTCATTTCAACACAGCGTATACTTAAGTGTTGTCCTCTGCCTCTAACCAAATCAATTCCCAGTGCAGTACAAGTCTGATCTTACGTTTATCACTTTCTGAATAACCTATAACATCCACAAGGTCAGCACAGAGAAGAACGAAAAGGAGTTCATCTTTCAAGGAAGTTTTTGGTCCAGACATTCCTAATCCATTTTCAAGGGCGCTTCTGTAAAAACACAACTTCACAAAATGTTAGAAAAGAACTATCCTGAATTTTGGTAGTATGCATTTGTAAACGGCCTCAAGATAGCACTCTCATATCAAATACAATTACAATTAGTAGTATAAAGTTAGGTAGCTTGTCTTCCATAGTTGATCTGCCTTAACTCACCCTGCTCTGGCTTGCCGTTCCTCCACACACCCATTTTTGCTAAGTCAGTTTTATCATGTAAAAGTTGATCTGTATTTATCTCAGAACTCCCAATTCCTGCAGCCAAGAGAGCCACGTTATCATTTACTAAGTTTCAATAGTTTTAACATCACAAGTGTGAGAAAAGAACTGAAGAATAGTGCTCTGCTATAAACTAACAGGACAAAAAGAAATAAAATCAAAAAGAATGTCTTTGTAAATTTAAGAGTGACTTCAAAGATTCAAGTCTGTTTGGGGAACTCCAAATACCCTACTTCCGTAGTACAGATTACAGGTTAGAAAAGAATGCACTTAAATTTCACGCTCCTATCCTACAAATATTGAAGGAAAGCAAACACACCAATAAGATCGTCACATATTTTAATAGTGTAGCAGTTCATTTATCGTTTGTAAGGGTTCAGGTCAACACATCATCAGTAAGCTGTCATTGTAAGAGATCGTAGCCTTCTGACAAGAGAATGTTCCACTGTAAATTATGCTCTTAATGCTTCATGACTGTTTTGCAGAGTTAATTATAAACTAGAAGCAGCAAAGACAATGTGGAGCATTAACTGTGCAAAAAAAATTCTCAATGTCTGCTATATCAGCCTTGTATTTGTCAGAATTCACAAGAACACATCAGTTATTTAAAAACCCTGAAAGCCACAATAATCAGAGTACTAACATCTCAGTCCACACACACAGAAATATCAAGCAGAAAACTAAACAGGAACCAAGATTTTAGAACATCATCTAGGAGTGCAGCACTTCAGCAGGGAAGGACCACAGTTTTATAGCAAAGCCTAGTCCTATGTCTGAAAAAAACACTACCACCCCACAATGGAGAGTCGGGCACGTACACATGTCCACAGGGGGCCTCAAGAACTCAAGGAGGAAGGAAGGAAGCCAACTGCCAGACCAGATCGTGCCACTCACCACATCTTCCCTGCCCACATTGAAGAAACTAAGGAAGTTTAATAGATCTAAAGCCTACTGTCAATTTATTCTGACAAACCAGATGTGCGGACAACAGGCTAGACTTCCCCAAGTCTAAGTTAATCAAGTT